CTCAATCCGAGTCTCGGAACTCATGTTACGATGATTCGAGTCGCAAACAACAACTTTGTGCCGTTATGCTTGCTCGACGATTTAGGGGCGAGGCAAGTCAGTAGCGAAATACCTTATGCTCTCCTAACAAAGACCCATACCAGCTCACCTAGGGCTCGCCCAACGAAGCTAACAGAACCCAAAAACACGATTTTGCATTGTAGAACCTCAAAACCTTCCAAATTCAATCCCAATCGTCTAGAAACTTATAACACATGAATCCTACACAATAACATGTTAATTCCTATTAACCTATGTTGTGAATCATATGTATTGAAACAAAGTATAAATGGTTTCTTTATGATCAAAAAACACACAAAAGTTAGGGTTAACAAAGAAAACAAGGTAAAACAACAAGGAACAACAAGGATCGGTTATAAACTACTATTCTTTCCTTTCTCTTAAAAACAAGATTACAAGTATACAAGAATAACAAAATAACCCCTCTCTCTTAAAATTAAGATTTTATCTTCCTATTTTTCCTTATGCCAAGATTGAGAAACAGACATCCTATTTATAAGAAAAATAACACACTAAACTAATGGGCTTTTTAACAATTATCCATTACAAGCTAACTTAGAGTACAAGCCAACTTAAACAATTGAGCTTACAAGCAAGGCCCAATTCAACATGCTAACAACCCTAGCAATATTGACTAATGCATGTTAGAACAAACTTCGACTACAACACGCATTACTCTGACAATAGCATGCAAACAGACTTCAACCTCATGCTTAATTCCTGTCAAACCAGAAGCTACCTTCCGACCATACTAGAGTTCGATCCAATATCTCACAAATCTCCACCTTGGATCTAACTCTATTACATCAAGAAACTAGCTTTATTCATACAACTTTATCAACTACATATAGTGGAAAAACTTGTAACTTGGCAACGTCTTGGTGATCATATCAGCAGCATTATGATTTGTCTAAACCTTCAACACTTGAACTTCTCTACGCTTGATTACCCCTCTGGAGAAATGCAACCTCACATCAATATGCTTGGTTCGTTCATAATAGATTGAATTCTTCGATAGGTATATTGCACTTTGACTATCACATTTAACAGTGATAACTCAACCTTGAAGTTTTAGCTCCTTTGCAAAACCTTCAAGCCACAATGTTTCCTTCACAGCTTCAGTTAGGGCAATATATTACGCTTCAGTGGTTGATAAGGCAACGAACTTCTGAAGTGAAATATATTTCCCTAACTGAAGTTGTGAAAAAAGCATTGTGGCTTGAAAGTTTTGCAAAGGAGCTAAAACTTCAAGGTCGAGTTATCACTGTTAAATGTGATAGCCAAAGTGCAATACACCTGTCGAAGAATTCAACTTATCATGAGCGAACCAAGCATATTGATGTGAGGTTGCATTTCGTCAGAGGGGTAATCGAGCGTGGAGAAGTCCAAGTGTTGAAGATTTCGACAGATCATAATGTTGCTGATATAATCACCAAGACGTTGCCAAGTTGCAAGTTTTTCCACTGTATGCAGTTGATAAAGCTGCATGAAAAAAATATAGTTTCTTGATGTAATAGAGTTAGATCCAAGGTGGAGATTTGTGAGATATTGGATCGAACTCTAATATGGTCGAAGGGTAACTTCCGGCTCGACAGAAATTAAGCATGAGGTCGAAGTCTGTTCGCATGTTGCTGTCGGAGTAATGCGTGTTATAGTCAAAGTTTGTTATAACATGCATTAGTCAATATTGCTAGGGTTGTTAGCATGTTGAATTGGGTCTTGCTTGTAAGCCCAATTATTTAATTTAGTTTGTACCCTAAGTTAACTTAAACAATTGGGCTTGCAAGCAAGGCACAATTCAACATGCTAACAACCCTAACAATATTGACTAATGCATGTTAGAACAAACTTCGACTATAACACGCATTACTCCGACAACAACATACGAACAAACTTCGACCTCATGCTTAATTCCTGTCCAACCAGAAGCTATCCTTCGACCATACTAGAGTTCGATCCAATATCTCACAAATCTTCACCTTGGATCTAACTCTATTACATCAAGAAACTAACTTTCTTCATGCAGCTTTATCAACTACATACAGTGGAAAACTTGCAATTTGACAACGTCTTGGTGATCATATCAGCAGCATTATGATCTGTCAAAACCTTCAGCACTTGGACTTCTCCACGCTCACCGCACCAATTTGTTGTGAATTAAATGTCTTAAAACAAAGTATAAACGGTTTCTTTATGATCAAGAAATACACAAAGGTTAGGGTTAACAAAGAAAACAAGGTAAAACAACAAGGAGCAACAAGGATTGGTTATAAATTGTTATTCTTTCCTTTCTCTTAGAAACAAGATTACAAGTGTACAAGAATAACAAAATAACCTTTCTCTCTCTCTCTCTCTCTCTCTCTCTCTCTCTCTCTCTCTCTCTCTCTTGAAATTAGGGTTTTATCTTCCTATGTTTCCTTATGCCAAGATTGAGAAAATAACATCCTATTGATAAGAAAAATAACACACTAACCTAATGGGCTTTTTAACAATTACCTATTACAAGCTAACTTAAACATTAAGGTACAATCTAACTTAAACAATTGGGCTTACAAGCAATGCCCAATTCAACATGCTAACAAGCCTAGCAATATTGACTAATGCATGTTAGAACAAACTTCGACTACAACACACATTACTCTGACAACAACATGCGAACAGACTTCGACCTCATGCTTAATTCTTGTCGAACCAGAAGTTATCTTTCGACCATACTAGAGTTTGATCCAATATCTCACAACCTAACTTGTTATTACACTGATTTAACTCGAAAAAAACCAGAATTGTTCATACTTTAAAAATCTCAATCTCATAATAAACTCATGTTTATGAACATATAACATACAAAACAATTACTCCAAAATAAGTACACGAATTTGCCAGTAATCATAGCATAAAAATAGAACTGAAATCATGTTACTCATCACATTCATCATAACTCAAAGAAAGAACAAACCATATGGTAGATTAAGGGTGCCTCCACTATACCCCTCATGCTTTAACACTCATTAGAGAAACACATCTCTCCCCTTACCTTGATTTCCCTAGCAAGTAATGAAATTATCCCTCTTCTCCTTCTACCTCTAGCCAACTTTGTCTCCTCCTCTTTTGTTTCTAAATTCTAGGTACTGTAACAATTATCCATAAACTTACACTTAGAGTTAAACTTCTCAATTTTATGAACTTGACCCAACCTAAAATACTTCTTATTCCTTCATTCCACTAATTTTCCTAGATTCTCATATTTGGCTCAATCACTCTATTTTTCTTATTTTTACTAAATAATATGATAAAACTATTATTTTACTTAATAAAGATAATTCTAAATTATTCTATACACCCATTACTATTTTACCATGCCCTTAAATTAAAGACTCACACCCCACAAACATTACAACAAATAAATAAATCAGCGAATAAATATAGTTAATCAGTAGAATACAGTAAAATATCCTATACAAAAAACGGATTTGGATCCTCTTTTTTTTTTATATATATCATGTTATCTCTCATGTTTCTAATATAACGGTTCAGAATTTATAATGAATAATTAAATAAAAAAACAAAGACTAATTACTTATCTATTTCTCTCTCCTATTAAATGACTTTTTTATTTAATTATTAATTATAAATTCTGAACCGTTAGGTTAGAAACATGATAGATGAAATGATATATATAAAAGGAGAGGATCCAAATCCACAAAAAACGGAATGTTATAATGCAAGTCATTATTATTATTATTATTATTATTATTATTATAATAATCATGACATAATAGTATAAATAGAATAAAATAATACTAATATTTTACTATAAATTTTAAAATTTAATATCCTTAACTATATTTTAATATGGAATATTTATAATTGTATTTTAAAATGATAAAACATCAAATAAAATTGATAAGTTATTATGTCCATTTGGTTTTAATTGTTCTTTTAAATAATTTTTTAAAATAGTTATCAATTTTAGAGTTTTTTTTGTTTGGTAATATATAATTATTATGTTATCAATGACACATTTAATTATTTTGTTAAATAGAAATAAATGAATGTAACCTATAAAGAAAAACAGATAAGATAACAAACTCATAAAGAGTAATAAAAGCAATTTCTATCTAATAAAAATACAAGATAAAAAAATTTGTGATCCAATCCAACAATCGTTTTCTATTTGTCGTTAATGTTTTATTTCCTAGTCTCTCTCCTCAAAACTCTCTTTTTGTAACAGAGTGCAATGCTTTTGTCAGAGGTGTGGCTCACTTCGAAACCAGTGACAATGACACATGCATGTTCTCCCACTCAACGGTCAAGATTCTCTCTATCTCCCATCCTTTTAATCAACCATCACCGTTAGATTCATCCATAACACTTTCCACCTATAACAACCATGCTTCAATAAATCACCTTTCTCCATTTTCCCTTCTCTCTCTCTCTGGTTTTCATACATGTGACTCAAAGAACATGAAGTGGTTTTGTGCCTTATAATGTAACTACTTTTCTGTTAAGCCTTAGATTTTCTTAGATCTATCCAACTTCAATCTTCTCTCTATGTTTTTTTCTTAGCCGTTTGGTTTGTAACATCATCATTTGTCTAAATTTTCTCTTTTGTAACTGTATTTATCTGATTAAATTTGTGTTCTTTTTGGTCACTACAACGCAGATCCAAACTCAAAAATGTTAATTTTTCAATTTTTTTAGTTCCTTTTGTCGTTAAATTATTTTTAGCCTTTTGTTGTTCTTCTAGATCTCTCACCATGTCCTAGATTTGAAGATCTTGTTATTGTCTGATTCTAGTTCTCAAGTAAAGATCTGTTTTTTCCACTCATATTTCAGAAGGGTTTCTATGTGTTTTAGATCTTGTTTTTTCCCCTTGTTTTAGAGTATGAAAGTTTTCCATGAAAGTTGTAGAATTTGAATCTCTTGAGTGAGAGAGAGAAATGAATTATTTTCCAGACGAGGTAATAGAACATGTGTTTGACTATTTGGTGTCACATAGCGACAGAAACAGTTTGTCTTTGGTATGCAAAAGTTGGTATAGAATAGAAGGATTTACAAGGAAAAGGGTGTTCATAGGAAACTGCTACTCTATTAGTCCTGAGAGGTTGGTAGAGAGGTTTCCTGATTTCAAATCTTTAACTTTAAAGGGAAAACCTCATTTTGCTGACTTCAGTTTGGTTCCTCATGGTTGGGGTGGTTTTGTTTATCCATGGATTGAAGCTCTTGCTAAGAGTAGAGTTAGTTTGGAGGAACTTAGGTTGAAGAGGATGGTTGTGTCAGATGAGAGCCTGGAGCTACTTTCTCGTTCTTTCATGAATTTCAAGTCTTTGGTTCTTGTTAGCTGTGAAGGGTTCACCACTGATGGGCTTGCTGCTGTAGCTGCAAATTGCAGGTGAGGAAGGGTGAATCTTGTGTTGTTAACTTGTTAGTGTTTTACTATTATAACTGTTGTGATCTTGTTGGGGAATATGTTTTTGGTTTTTAATGGTTTTTGGATTTTGTTATGTACAACTTTGATTTGATGATTTTATTTTCTTATAGCGGTACAGTTGAAGCTATATAGCAATTAAGTCCTGGTTAATGTTGTCTTTATCTTCTGTACTATAAGAATTTCAAATTGTAGTATATTTATAGCTTGTGTTCTATGTGTCTATAAATGGTTGAATGACTTTGAACTTAACATGTGTTCTTCTGGGTTATCTTGTTTGTGTTTTGTATGCGATAGATTTGCGCGGTAAGAGAAAATTGTGTTGAGAAATATGTTTTTCTAATTGTGTTTCCGGCAGGTGTTTAAAATATGTTCTTGACTCATGACTTGTTTTTGTTGAAATGTAGGTCTCTTAGGGAGCTAGATTTGCAAGAGAATGAAGTTGATGATCACAAAGGACAGTGGCTAAGTTGTTTTCCGGAAAACTGTACATCACTTGTCGCTCTTAATTTTGCTTGCCTTAAAGGAGAGATTAACGTGGGAGCACTTGAGAGACTTGTGGCAAGATCACCTAACCTTAAGAGTCTAAGGTTAAACCGTTCTGTGCCTGCTGGTGCACTTCAAAGGATACTAACGCGAGCGCCTCAAATTGCAGATTTGGGTATTGGATCATTTATTCATGATCTCCATTCAGAGGCCTACATAAAGCTTAAGAATACCATTCTTAGGTGCAGGTCAATAACGAGTTTGTCCGGGTTCTTGGAAGTGGCTCCTTTTAGCCTTGCTGCTGTGTATCCAATTTGCCGGAACTTAACATCTTTGAATTTGAGCTATGCTGCAAACATTCAGGGCGCTGAGTTGATTAAGCTTATTCGTCATTGCGGGAAACTACAGCGCTTATGGGTAAACTATATCAGACTTCAAGACTAATAATTTTATAATACTATTTGCAATTTATCATCTCAATCTACTTATTACTCTGTGCCTTATAATTGTTGACAAAAAATAACCAATGGTGCAGATAATGGATTGCATTGGAGACAAAGGACTAGTTGCTGTAGCTACTACATGTAAAGAGTTGCAAGAATTGAGGGTTTTTCCATCCGCACCATTTGGAAATCAAGCAGCAGTTACCGAAGTAGGACTTGTTGCGATATCAAAGGGATGCCCCAAGCTCCACTCGATACTCTACTTCTGCCACCAGATGACAAATGCTGCTCTCATAACAGTAGCCAAAAACTGCCCAAATTTTATCCGATTTAGGTTATGCATCCTTGATGCAACAAAACCTGACCCCGACACAATGCAGCCACTGGATGAAGGTTTTGGGGCAATCGTACAGTCATGCAAACGACTGAGGCGGCTATCACTCTCTGGTCAGTTGACCGACCAAGTCTTCCTTTACATTGGAATGTACGCAGAGCAGCTTGAAATGTTATCCATTGCTTTTGCTGGGGAGAGTGACAAGGGAATGCTCTATGTATTGAACGGCTGCAAAAAGCTTCGCAAGCTCGAGATAAGAGACTGCCCTTTCGGTGACACAGCACTTCTGACAGACGTAGGGAAGTATGAAACAATGCGATCCCTTTGGATGTCGTCGTGTGAGGTGACTGTAGGAGCATGCAAGACATTGGCAAAGAAGATGCCGAGTTTGAATGTGGAGATCTTCAATGAAAGTGAACAAGCAGATTGTTATGTGGAAGATGGGCAAAGAGTGGAGAAGATGTATTTGTATCGTTCCGTGGCTGGGAAAAGAGAAGATGCACCAGATTATGTATGGACTCTGTAGGTGCATTTTAGGTTCATTTTAATTTTTCTAGTATTAAGCTGTTTGTACTTTGTTTTAGGCTCTGACTGATTAATGCAATTTTAGTCTCTCCGGATATGTACTGGTTATGTTGTATCCTTGCACTTTGCTAGTTTTATTTTTATTTTTATACATAAATATTAGATGGCACTTGATTAATATGTTGAGTTTTGTTTTTATCTACTTCCATTTTATGATGATGCAGTGCTATTCTTTCTTCTTCATTTTGTTGAGCTATATGTATGATGACACAAGCTGGCTTACAGGCAACTGAGTCAGTGTGACACACTACTTTGCTTAACCAGCTCTGATTTCATGCCTTTGTTATATGCAGAGAGTCTGTGTTTTCTGTATTACTTCTTCTAATAGTTTTGGGTATTAACTAGAGAGTCTGTGTTTTCTGTATTACTTCTTCTGATAGTTTTGGATATTAACTACAACAGAAAGGAAAAAAATTTACTTTGATCAGGGGTTAATATAAATGATGATTTTAACTTAAGAGAATTTTTTACTCCGCCTCTTACGGTTTTTAAGTACCATGTGTGCTTTTAAAAATACTTCTTTAAAAATACTTCTCTGTTTTCGAAGATGTATCTTTGGACGTTTTTTTTTTACTCAACATTAGTTTTTTTTAGAACTACATTTGCAAAATATTTTCGTTTATATAATCTTGGAACATATTGGAATACATTCGCACGAGAGTCCATTCTCATTCCTTATTCTTTATTTTCATCTTCACTTTCAAGTTCTCCAAACTCTCAATCTTCAAAAAATCGTTTTTCACCAAACTTAATTTTTTTTCAATCGAGTTCGACAAGGAGCATTCATTTCAACGATCAAGACACTCCAAATCATTCAAAGTTCGATATAATCAATAAGTTTTTGAGTTTCTGAGGTATTTTCGAGTATTTCTCGTAAACGAATTAGAATATAGTTTTAAGGTTATAAATTCTTAGATAATTTTAAAAACATAGTTTAGAGACAATATAGTATTGTTTGTAAGCTGAAACAGACGATCAGGGTTTCAAAAAATCGATTTTCATGGGTAGGGAACGCCATTGTCGTGACTGTTGGAGTTGCAGAAAGTTCCGGATCATGTAACCAGAGCGCCAAGAGACTGAAATTTGCGTTGATGGCTACATCACGTGATTCTTTACCGTCTCACACCCCTACATGGTGCTCACTGCAGAAGGATCACCGTCCAGATCAGCTCATCGAGAGATTTTAGAGGAATAGTAGTCTCAGTTGGACCACACTCAGGATGTCCTGCCTCATTGTCTTCAGATAGTAGAGATGGGGCGGACATGCATTGACGTCGTTTTCTCCCCTGAGGGGTCTGACCACAGGTGTATATTGGATCAGATGATTGCGCTGACAAAGAGAGCACTTATGTACCGCAGACATCGCGCCAGGACAACTGAGATTAATGGCCGAGAACGCAGACCGAGCGGTCGAGGAGGCGGTAGAGGAAAGGATGGAGATGTTGTTAGGCACACACAGTAGTGACTGTGGTGTTTTTTTATGTACTATATTTTGATGATTTTTATGGATGTATGTTATTTTATATTCATATGTAACAGTTAATTTATTTACAGATGTATGTTATTTTATATTCATCTGTAACAGTTAATTTATTTACGGATGTACGTTATTTTATATTTATCTGTAACAGTTAATTTTCATCTGCGACCAATAAAATTGGATTTTTTTAAAAAATTGTTCTAATAAGATTTCAGAGATGTATCTATGCAACTTTTTTCGTAGATCTGTCTCCGGAAACATCTAGCGTAAAGAAAAAAAATGTTGCGTCCGAAGATACAACTCCGAAAACAGAAAGCATAAAAAGAAATGCGGTAGGTGGCAAAAAATATTAAGAAATGGATTAAGAAATTCTCTAAATGTTACTCTCAGTTGAATGAGAAAAGAACTTTAAAAAGCTTAAAACCAAGAGGTCCTAAGAGAAGATGAAATTTTGTTATTTTGTTAGGCTTGAAACTTGTTGAAGATAATATAATAAAATCAAGTCTTATTTCACTAAGTGAAATCAGTTATATGGACCAGCCATAATATTCTATTAAGGTCTTTTTTTTAATCAAATTATTAATTTTAAAATATTTTTTTAATAATTTCTCTTATAATTTTTTCATAATATTCTATTCATGTCTATGCTTTTAACCAAATAATTAATTTTGAAATATTTTTTAATAATTTCTCTTATAATTTTTTAAAGTCTTCATCTTCTAACTATTTGATTCCTCTCCATTTAATTAATTTTTCTTATCATAAAATCTATCGGTCTTCTCTCTATTTGATCAACCTGTTGAAGTCTATTCTCCACACTCTTTTTATTGTTCAAAATAATAATAATAATAATAATAATAATAATAATAATAATAATAATAATAATAATAATAATAATAATAATAATAATAATAAACATTCCAAGTGTTATTTGTCTCTAAAGTAATCGTGGATGTGTAAAAAATGAAACAGCATTTATATGGTTGGTTGTACTTTTTACAATTGTGACAATTTAAATATTTTAGAAGTCTCTTTTTGTAAGTGGGCTTTTTTGGCCATCATAAGCCGTGAAGAAATAACTAAGAATGCAGATGATAAAATGCATAGACACAATAATTACAAGAGTGACATGTCTTTTGAAATGAAATTTTAGATTTGTAGTTTAAAGAAAATAAACATGGTTTTTTTAATCAAATCTTGATAATACAATTATTTTATATTTTACAATCTTGCTATCCTCCAATCCTATGCAAGACCCGATCCTAAAGCCTTGTGCATGTAAACAAGAAGGCTGCACATATTTTTAATCAAATTTTGGATAGTAATAATTTGAAGTACACTAGTTTCTATACTCGAGTGGGGTGGAGAAATTCCTACTTTCTAATACTTGTGTTATATTTCTTATGGAACTAGTGACCACTCGGCTTCATGTTCATCTTCTAAAGTGCATAGCGGCAGTGGTTTTCATCTAGAACTCCTTTAAAATTTTGAAATCAATCATAGAAAGTTCCTAGGATCACATCAATAACAGTAGCCTTCTTTAAAGAAAAAAAGTGGCCAAAAACCGCCCAATGTGGTGCACTATGAAGGCATGATCTCATGAGAGAAAAATTGACAACAATCATTGATAAACATAATTATCTAGATTTTTCAATATCAACTTCACAAGTTTTGGTATTACAACAGAATAGTAGTTTCTGGTCTACATTATTAATTTCTACTAATAACATTGATGTATAAAATAATCAATAATTATTTAATAAAACATGAATGATTATTATTTTTTGAATAAGAAATTATTTGCCATTACTTTTTAATATATATTTACACAATTTCAAGGACTTGAACACTGGATCTCCGAACCTTCGGACTAATCCCACGTATAGGTATTTGTCTTCTATAGTAGATATATGAGACAATTGAAGGGAGAGAGAGAATTCAGAGGTTATACTAATGATCTAAGTCAGAAAAAGAGTGGCGTTTACAGAATATATCAAGGTGTATTAATAATTTAGGTTGTAATTCCACACAGCAACTGCTGTTTACCGTTTCCAATACATAATAAGCATCCATACACAGAGATTCACAAAGACCAGAGCACAAAAACTATGAACAACCTTAAAAAGACAAGGTTAAGAACCATGAGTTACCCGAATGAACAAGGTTAAGAACCATGAGTTACCCGAATGACTAACACTGACCCAGATCCCGCACAAATCAAGCAAGACATAACATTTGAGCAACATTTATCCAGAGAGCTAATATAACCAACCAGCCAAGTGCATCAAACTGAAGACACAACTTTCATGGTGATCGTCAAAAACAACACTCCTCTAGAAAACAACAGCAACAGAGCGCTGCAAAGCTGCACATGTAAACACACAATGAAACCAGACTCTCAAATTAAACTCATAAAGGACAAATAATATACCTGAAACTAAAAATATTTCAGGTGACTTTTTTATTTTAATTAAATTTTGACATCTCAAGCTGAAATGAAAAATTCCATAGAATATTCTTGTTTAATTTTATGTTAGAGAAAAAAACTGAAAGTTTATGTACATTAAGGAAAGTTTGTAGAGTGGTACAAGATATTTCTCCCTACACTTTGATAGATAGTTTGTTAAACTGATTGTTAATCAAAGTTGCCGAATGAAATCTTGGGATATGAATAACAAATTTGAACAAATAACTCAAATATACATTCTTAATTAAAAATAGAAAAGAATGAAATTTGTATCATTTTTTAGCAAGAGTCGGTCTCATCAGGAGACTTAACGTTTAACTATATTTGACCCTTGATTTTATTGCGATGTACTGGTTCAAGATCACCCAAATTTTAAGTTAAACATGACATTAATGAAGAAAGACCATACTTGAAGGCGACTTCAACAAATAAAAAGAATTTAACTCTACTCATTCTAGTCTTTATCATGTTTCTAACATAGATTACAAATTTGCTTGATGAATTTCCTCTAAGTTGTAGGTTTGCTAACACATAAAAAAACTCTGCAACATAAGATATAGTCAAAAGGCGGCATCTGGTAGTCTAAATTAATAGTACTTATGGTTTACTTATATGTTATCAAATTTTGTTATACTTTTCCAGAACATCTTGAGTAGTACAGAACAGCTGACATTGATCTAGCTAGTGAAACTTCTATTTTTATGACATTCAAGTTTCAACAATGCTACAAGTTGCTCTGTTTCCTACACAATTAGATCGAGCCATGATCAATGTTAACATAAAAGGAAACTACCTAAACTGTAGAAAGTTGTCTTTGTTTCACTAATTTTGCTAAGAAAATAATCTCCATCCCCAACATAATACTAATGATGCCAACATTTTTAGTTCAGGGAAACAGAAACACAAGCTGTGGGGAATCCTACAACATTAGCTATTGATAGATGATTCCCACAAGAGTGTTCACCAGCTACTTACTCTCACTTCAGTTTTGATCATTAGCCAGTTCTTGATCTTCCCTAAAATCTCTTCAGTTCATTTTTTGAGGCCTCTTGGTTCTGGGTGGGGTTACGGTCTTATGGCTTTGTTTTTGTTTTTGGGTTGTCTTATCTCTTTAACTTCTAAAAACCTCATACAAAGCACAGTTTTGGCACACTGAGTTAGAGAAAATTGTGTTAGCCCAAAAGCCTTCATTTCCTGGTATCTTTGGTTCATTCTTTTTCACTTTCCCTTAACCAAAAAACAAATATAATTTCCTTTTCTCTTCTTGTAAGCTATAAAACTTAGTTGCCTTGCTACAAAATGTTATCAATTCTAGATAGCGGCCGATTCCAAAATGCCACAGTAGGACAACGGTAATCCTGCTATTATGCAATTTTTTTATTTTATTTTTCTTTTTAAATTTAAATTCAATTTATATTTATACTATGTACATAAAAATTCAGCAACTGGCCGTAACTGACCGATGAGGAAAGTGAAAGACGACAGCAGAAGTGAGTCAGAATGAGATTGGAGAAGCCCTGACATCTAAACTTATGGTTCTTTCAAAATTTTCAATTTCATTCTTATGCGCAATACTATCTCGCCACAATAGCCAAAATAGTGGCTGCTACAGATTCTACATCATACTATGTTGGTGGATAAAATTTGCTTGATGAATTCCTCAAAGTTGTAGGTTTGCCAACACACAAAAAAACAAACTGTGCAACATGAGATATAGCCAAAAGACAGCACATGGTAGAGTCTAAAGAAATGGTACTTATGGTTTGCTTATATGTTATCAAATTTGTAGTTTGCCAGAGCATCTCAAGTAGTACAGAACAGCTGACATTGATCTAGTCCGTGAAACTTCTATTTTTATGACATTCAAGTTTCAACAAGGCTACAAGTTGCTTTACAATTAGATCGAGCCATGATCAATGTTACATAAATGGAAACTACCTAAACTGGTCTAGAAAGTTGTCTTTGTTTCGCTAATTTTGCTAAGATGTTCTCCATCCCCAACATAATAATACTAATGATGCCAATTTTTTTGTTAAGGGAAACAGAAATACAAGCTATAGGGAATCCTACTACATTAGCTATTGATAGATGAATCCCACACGAGTGTTGACCAGCTACTCACTCTTACATCAGTGTTGATCATTAATCAGTTGTTGATCTTCCCTAAAATCTCCTCCGTCCATTTTTTGGGCCTCTTGGTTCTGGGTATGGTACGGTCTTATGGCTTTGTTTTTGTTTTTGTTTTTGGGTTGTCTTATCTCTTTAACTTCTAAAAACCTAATACAAAGCACAGTTTTGGCAAACTGAGTTAGAGAAAACTGTGTTAGCCCAAAAGCCTTCAATTCATGGTATCTTTGCTTCATTCTTCTTAACTTTCCCTAAACCAAAAAACAAAAATAATTTCCTTCTCTTCTTGTAAGCTTCTAAACTTAGTTGCCTTGCTACAAAATGTTATCAATTCTAAATAGGGGACGCTCCCAAAATGCTATAGTAGTGCAGTGGTAATATGTTTTTTTTTATTTTTTAAATTTAAATTCAATTTATGTTCATACTATGCACTGTTATCGATGGCGGATGACGGAGAGTCAATCCTGCCATACCGGCTGCTTGGCGGCGCCTTATAGCGGAAAAACCCGAAATATCAGCTAATATTTACCATTGCGGCGAGCACAAAAACCGCCATGTATATCCACCATAGCGGCCATAGCGCCTCTATTTGATAATACTGATACTGTGTACATAAAACTCAGCAACTAGCAGTAACAGACCAATGAGGAAAGTCAAAAACGACAACAAAAAAGTGAGTCAGAATGAGATAGGAGAAGCCCTGCCATCTAAAACTTACGGTTCATTTGAAGTTTTCAATTCATTCTTATGCACGACACTATCTCACCACAATAGCCAAAACAGTGGCTTCTACAGCTTCTACATCATACTGCTATGCTACTGTCTATCCTCTTGTGACGAGGGGCTGCTTCTCCTCTATAGAGCACTATTGACTACGCTGTTGCTACCTTCTACTATTTACATGCTATTGTTCCGTGGTTCCATAGCATAACTTTTTTACTTCAAATGTATCTAAGGAGATTAATAATGGTGTTGGAAGCATCTTACCCAATTTAAAAATCTCAAACCTCATATAGAGGTTCAATTTTTCCAAACTTGAAGTTCAATTTCTTATTCATTACTAAGGGTTTCAGAAAATTGTGCTAGCTCTAAAATTTTCAATAATTGTGAAATTACTTCACTTGAATTTTCTTTACTCTTTTCCTTGGCCAACAAGCATTATATAATTCCTTGTCTTTTCTTATTAGCTCTAGCTTTTCGTTTCCTCCATCGTTTCCCTTGGAGCTAGATTCAATTCAACATAGCTAGTTTTCAACTCATCATAGTCTGTCCCTATTCTCTGATCTGTGACTTCTTATATGCTACGTAAGAGCTACGGGGTTAAGACTCAAATCACTCAATACAACATCATTTATTCACCTCTTTTGCAAATAGGTTCATGCTAGGATATTAGATGCATATGCGTGGTTGAATGCTACAACCAAAGTTAATGCTTTGTATACTAAGAAACCTCATCATTAATCTATAACATTTTAGGTGTTTTAGAATAAAAACAGAAACACTATCATCTTCAGAGTGCAAGTTTTGGGGGATAATAATAAGTTAATAACCATTATGTTTTATTGGATTCACCCTCAAACTCGCAATTTTATACAATGCAAGTCAATACCAGTCCATCTGATTCAACTCGAGTTTACACAAACAAATTCGCAAGCAACCCACCTCAATTTCGGTAGCCAATGCCATAAACTCATACATTCTATCCTAAAGAATCAATTTGATCAAAATTCTTACACCTAGCAAGGGTCTCATCACATTTTCAATTTCTACCAAATGTTAATTAGTCTATCAAATATTAACATGACAACTAAACAAAAACCCTAAGCACACGCTATCAAACATCAAACAAAATCCAAATACAAATACAAAAACAATCATCTAACCTAATCCAATCCATAAAGAAATATAATTGTACGATAAAAATCCATACCAGCCTTGAAAGAAAGAAGAGAAACAGGAGACGTCATTATTATCGTGGCAATGATGCTGAACATGGTGACAATTGTAATTCGGAGGAGGATATCCATTATTGAAATAGCCTTGGTAGGTTTGGTATTGAGGATGAGGCGGCGGATAGGTTGTTGAATAACCAGGCGGCGGATAGGTTGTTGAATAACCAGGCGGCGGCAGCGGAGGGTAGCCTTCGTAACCAGGTTGCGGTGGAGGAGGGTAGCTTTCGGAACCTGGTGGCGGTGGTGCTGACGGGTAACCCGGTGGTAGTTGTGTAACCGGGTAACCCTGTGGCGGTGGATAAAGAGATCCGTATCCTGGTGGAGGATAAGGAGGGTCTTGAGGGGCTCTTTGGTAATTGTTACTCATTTTTTTTTGGAATTGGGAATGTGGAGAAGGGTTCAGGCAAGGGAAGGGAAGAACTGCGAGTAGTTCTCTCCTCTTGCCTTTCTGTCTCTGTGTTGGCGGATTGGTATAATGAGAAAATGAAAACGTATATGAGTTGGAGGGACGTTTTTTTTTGTCGTCGAATTTAAGTTTCAAGTCTATTTGAATTCCTATTGAACGATACTATAAAGTTATTTTATACGATCCGTACGTATCAATTAAACTTAAAGTTAAATTATTTTGACTATTTTAAATTTTAAAGCAGACTCTTTTAAATTTTAAAACAAACTATTTTAAATTTTTTTTAAATAATTAATTAAAAAAAACTCAAATAATCAACATTTCAAATAATTTAATAAAATAATCACTTTGCAAACAATTTTTTTTTGTCATATAGAGAATGCGTCAATGTTTGTGACACATGTTTTTAGTATCATGCAAATGATAATGACGCATGCATGCAAGTATTAGGAGCATGCGCTATTTCTCCTGACTCATATGTTGTATTATGTTTTTTTTAATAAATAGGTCATTCATTCCCCACCATTTGCCATTCATCTTTTAATTCTCTCCTTATATTTTTCTTCAAAATATCTTATATCACCAAAAGAAATGTTAATTTGATTTATTCAGCAGTAAAGTCTCCGATGAAGATCCGACTTTGAAACATTGAGACTTTCAGACATATAGAGAGAAATTTGATTCGTTGGTTATATGGAGGCATTGGAGACGGTGAAAAGATTAGAAGAATTGAAAGACTTGTAACGGTGTTCAACAATAATGGAGAACATTGTGTTTGAGAGTCAGTTAAAACTGACAATGATTGTCGTATTATGACACATAATTTAGATGATATTGTCTTAATGGTTGTATTCGTATAGATATGTTATTCTGTTTAGTCATTTTATTTGCTTTTCGTGTTGTTGTTTTAATCATTAAGAAAAGAACGTTGTTTTCAATATGAAATTAAATGGTTACATAAATGAATTACATATCAAAAGCAGGACTAAAAATGGATTCAATAATTATGTTGTGGAGCTTACTCAAACACTGGGCCGATTTTTACTATTGTGTTCGGGTTGATGTCATGAACTGTATAATCTTACCATTTTGTTCGTCGTATCCATTCGATTTGAATACGTGTGCTGTTAGGATGATCATTTTTATTTTTTCGTATATTTTCATTGTGCCAAACTATGTCCCCTTGATAAGTATGTCAATAATCCTCATTTGATATCACCAGAAAGCTATTGTTGTACACATTGCATATATTTATGACTTTGTAAACGACAGATAGTAGGTTAAAGGATCCTAGTGAGAATGTGAACATACCGCTAAGACATGGGTGCAAGACATATAGAAAGCTTAAAATTTTCCCCAATCGCGCTAACTTCTGTCTAGTTTGACATGATAGTATCCCCTTGACCTCTCCTCATTGTGTTCAATTGTCTCATCTACACTTAGCCAACCTCTACGACAGTCATATTTTGAACCTGAAATGTTCATGAGCTTGAAACGTATTTTGAACATCTTCACCATCTAGAACCTTTAGCTGAAATTTTGTTGACTTGTTGGAAAAAATAATTGGATTTTTGCAAATGATTTGTGACACTACACCAGACTGCAACTTCGCCTCTATTCTCTCTTTCAAATGTGAAAATTTTGATCTTCTATTTATTATAAACTAGATAATATCAGTATTACAAAAATTAAAGTAAGATATTTCACAGTCAAATGTCTCACCATTGATGTGAGCATTAATCATGTATTGTGGTGAAGGAGCCATTTTGTGAAAATTTTGGTTGCTAGTAATGTATTTTAGTGTGCTTGTATTATATTTTGGTTTGATAGCAGTGCGACTTGGTTTTGAAAGGAAGGCATTGATATTTTACCACATTTTACGCTTTGGTTGTCTGTTTTCAATGTTCTTCAACTCCCAATAAGTATCTGGGTGAAAGCGAAGAAAAAACGCAAGGAATCACGAAGGTTGAAGAAAAATGCAAGTCAAATGACATTGGCCTTCTACCGGCACCCGTAGCACATGCTAGAGGTCGTAGTAGTAGAGCCAAAATCCCCCCTTCTCAATTCTTCAACCAGCTTAAATCCCTCTCCTCCCCTTAGCCGTTCGCCCGGTGGCGGATGGATATCCTCAGTCCGTTTCCCTTAGGCTCTTATCAGAACAAGTATCTGATAGTGGGCGTCGACTACTTCACCAAATGGATCGAGGCCGAAGCCCTCGCCAAGATCACGTCGCACAATATACTCAGTTTCTACAAGAGGAACATCCTCGCCAGGTTCGGCGTCTCGCTCACCATAGTCACCGACAACGGGACACAGTTCACCGACATAAACTTTTGGGACTTCATCACCAAACTCGGGACCAAGCACTATTTCACTTCAGTCGAGCATCCACAAACGAACGGCCAAGCCGAGACCACGAACAGAGTAATCCTCTGAGGACTGAAACGAAGACTCGGCGACGCCAAGAAAGGATGGGTCGAGGAGTTCCACAGCGTGCTGTAGGCCTATTGAACAACGCCTCATTCGACCACCGGGGAAACCCCATTTCGTCTCACGTGCGAAACCGAGGCAGTGATCCCGATGGAGATAAGAGAGTCGTCCAGAAGGACCGAAGCTCCCCTCGAGGAGGAAACCAACGACGAAGCTCTCCAGGAGGAGCTCGACCTAGTCGAAGAGATCCGATCAGGAGCAGCTCTCCGTGAAGCCACGCTAAAACAAAAGATCGTCCTTCGCTACGACAACGAAATCCTAAAACTCGAGTTCCAGGTCGGCGCCCTGGTCCTACGAAGAAACCAAAAGGACTCACACGAGTGCAAACTCACCGCAAACTGGGAAGGCACATATCATGTTCGGGACAAGACGGAGCACGTGGCCTACTACCTCAAAAACCTACACGGGAATTAGATAGCTTGACCATGGAACGCTGAAAAGCTAAAAAGTACTATAGTTAAACACTGCTCGCGAGAACCCTCATCGCGACCACGGGACCGCGGCTTTGGTACGACCGCGTCTCCCCGGAGTTAAAGAAATAGCAAGTGTCTGCCCTTTGTGTGTGCGGGCAAAACACTTTGCTCGACGGCGACCACTCGACCGAGAGTCGCCGCCGCAGTACCAAGACCGGAAGAACACCCAGCTCACGATGGAACGTTCACGCCGCGGGGACTGACCCACGATCGTGATCCACCCCCGTGACCGACCAAGTAACCACCCCGGTCAACCAACCAATTCCATACACTACCGGGCACAACGGATGTCGAGCTACCACTCTCAACTTAGCAAAAATATACATTAAGCATAACAAATGTGCGAGCAAGCATACAAATAAACAAAAATAAAATATAAATCATGCATAATCGAGCATACACATTAACTTAGAAAGGAAAAAAAAATTCCATAAAACGGGCACAAGCCTAAAAGTCAAAACATTACAATAAACAGGCACAAGCCCAGAAATCAAAATAAAGCATGACGTGCAGGTCGAATGAAAAATAAAGGGGCACGCAGGCCACCATCCTTACTCTACAAGTTCCTCATCCCGGGAAGCTTGGTCTCTGTCCTCCTCATCTGAGCCACCGGGTGCCACGATCCGACCATCTTGGATCTGATGAAAGGGACCAATCCCGTCGGTTACCAGGTTAGGGTTGACGAGCTTGAGTTGCTCGACAGCGTGCTTAAAGCCCACTTCGACAACTTCTATACAATCCTCTTCGAGCTGACGAACCTTGTCCACGAGCCCCCTGAGAGACGATATCAACTGTTCATCTTCAGTTTCCTCCTTGGCCGGAGCGACCAGATCCTCCAGCTCAGCGGCGCGACCTATGTGTCGCAACTGCGAAAAACCACCAGCAGAAAAACAGAAGAGTTGCCACTTTCGTTATTTATCCCAAAGGGAGGGAAAGGGAACGATCAGAAAAACCTAAAGAAAAAGGGAAAGACAAGGTCGTCGCAACCATGTATGGATTCGGGAGCCGGTTACGCCAGAGGAAGGTATTAGCACCCCTCACGTCCGCCGTACTCGACAGGATCCACGCATTGTTGTCTATCTAAAAGGGTGTGTTAAAACTATCTAGCTAAAGGCTTAAGGACAAAAGAAAAAAGAAAAGAGAAGTGACTCGGCAGAGCATCACCGCTCTGTGCCTACGTACTCCCTCGTGCAATGGGAAAGTCAGAGTCAACGTAGTTCGAATAACTACGACTAAAGAAGGGGGAAGGTTGCTCGCCAAGACATCACGTCTTGTGCCTACGTACTTTTATCTGGTACGAAAGATCAGAGCAAATGTAGTTCGGGCTAAAAGGACCACAGGTTGGTTCAAAAGTTTTTTAGGTCCGAGTAGGGTTAACAAATAGTTCTGGCAATTGGTGTATGCAGCTCGACCATTGGAGACTTAGGCGTTACCGTTTGCGGTAGAACTAAGAGTTAACGACACTCTTTTTGTGAAAAGATTTCCTTGATTAAGAACCCCAAAGGGTGAAAAAGTTTTTAAGTGTTTTTGTGTTTTTTAGAGAAGAAGTGTTTTGAATTTGAGTGTTTATAATGTATGTTGTACTAAAGTCTAAAACCTAGGATCGGATGCGTCGCATATCGTCCTAAGGACGTATACTAAACACTCTAGGCAATTGAGAGGTGGCCCCTCAATCACCATTTCCCAAGTATAAGGCTCATGGCACAACATTCATTATCCTTATTAACTATGTTAAGATTGTTTGAAGATGAGAAGAGAAGAAAGCACACTAATCGGAGACTAATCCATCCTAAAAGTTATCATGCAAAGTGGACTTAAAGTTGAGTTTGAAAAGAGGAACTACCTAATGTTATCATGCATGTGTAGAACCTTAATGTCTATCATAACCTCAAGAGGTTAAAGAACTTATGGGGAGCATGGCAAAGAAAAGCAAAAGAAGAAGAAGAAGAAGAATGCATATGCAAATGAAAGGATGCACACATAGAATGCACAAGTAGA